TTTAAGTTCACAATAGATCCAGAGTCAAATTTAAGACACATATCTCCAATTCCAAAAACTTTGCATTTCTTTTCATTAGCCATGGACACAATACCATTATCAATCTCTTGATAGTTTGAAAAAAGGTTTTTAAATGGTGACATATGAAAGGTGCAACCAGAATCAACTAGCCAATCAGATTCACACAGATAATCCGATAGCACAGAGTTCAAATAAGCATAATCTTTGATCATTAACACATCACCAAAGTTGTTTGATTCACTAGCCATATTAGCATGATCTTTTTGCTGAATTTTCTTAGGCTTAGAACAACTATTACTAAGGTGACCATATTCATTGCAATTATAACATTTTCTTGTTTTAGACTTGGATCTAGACTTACCCCTTCTCTGGTTGAATTTTCTCACATTTGAGTTATCATTGTTAGCATGTTTATGGTTTTGAAACTTATTCAAAGTTCTACCCCTCACATGCATAACCTCCCCAGAATTTTTATCACTCTTAGAATTTTTTAACTCTAATTCCTTACTCTTGAGACCATTCACAACAACATCAAGAGAAATATTATCCCTACCATATTTAATTGCAGATTTAACATCACTGTAGGAATCAGGAATAGCATTCAAAAGAGCAATAGGGGTGTAGTCATCAATATGTTTATCAACGGTTAATTTAATATCAGAAATCAGTTTGGTGAAAACATCTAGATTTTCTTCTATGTCCTTAGACATATCCAATCTAAACCTGAAAAATTTTTCAAGTAAGAAAATCTTATTTGGCAAAGAAGTTTCAGTATAAAGTTCATCAAGTTTATTCCAAAGATCTTTAGCACATTCCAAGATACCAACTTTTCTGATCACACAGTCAGTTAAGTTTAAGTAAATTATGGAACAAGCAATTTCATTCATTTCAACTCTTTTCTCTTTGGCGTCTGTTTCTAGATATGAATTAATAACAGCTCTATAAACTTTTTGATGAACAAGAACACACTTCAATTTTTGTTTCCAAATACTAAAATCAGTTTTTCCATTAAAAGGAGTCAAAGCATACTGATTCATAGTAGACATATCCACTAAGGAGAGAAATGATCAAAAAGATCACCACAAAGGAGAAAACACCCACAAAAGAGAATAAAAAACTGAAAAAATCAGCAACACAGAGGCACGTAGAATATGGCCTAAATTTTCCAAATTTGGCTCACGTGTGTGAAGCAATTGCACGAACAACCCAAGATTATTATGTTAGCAAAAAATTGCTTACTCAATCCCGTTGTTCTTTCACACGAGCACAAACTATAGTGGAATTAGGCAATCGGAAATAATGCAGCGGAATTAAACAACCCTAAAAAATGCTACGAAAGCAAAGGGATAAAGAGTTGTGTACCTGGGCGAATCTAATGCCTAGATTCGACTTACCAACTCCATGGAAGAATTCTGGCAGCAATTGGTGCGAGTCCGGCTCTGCCACTCGTCCCTGCCGCTGAGGTTCTGCGCTCGCCGGAGCACGTCAGGGTCTGCTTCTTGAAGCTCTCTAGCGGGTCGCCGGTCGCCTGCCGTTTTCCGTCTCAGGACGCTGGTGATGATCGCACGAAGATAGATCGCAGGTCCGAAGTCAAGAGTCTGCTTCGTTCTTGACCCACAAGAATAATACAAGACTCCTTTTTTTTTTATGATGATGGATGAGTGAGGATGCTGACCACACACAAAAAATATCCCACTAAGGGATTGACGCTTTGACCGAAGGAAAACAAAAGAAAGAACAAACCCAGAACAGTAGATCCGAAAAAACACCTCACGGAAAAATAAATAAATACTGAGCACAAACCAGGCTCTGATACCATTGTTGTGTGTATTTATTTATTCTGATTAGACTCAGGTCACCCGTAAAATTCGGTCCGTAGTTGTGCACTACAAGGGTACCAAAAGGAGCAACACCCCAACCCAACCTCGCCACACTCCACTCACAAAGAAACGGAGAAGAACTGAGATGAACTCACAGAGGAAGAGAAATATCACACAAAGAACTCACAAAGAGAGGGATGTTTTCACGGTGTAGAAACACAAAGGGGAAGCCTCAATTTATAGTAGAGATTTAGGAGCTAATTAAGGTAAGCTTAATTAGGTTAGGAATAAAGAGATGGGCTAAGAGAAATGGGCTGCTGGGTTGGGTGTCAAATATTATTAATATGTTTGGGCCAACCCCAAATAAATTAACACTTGACACATATAAACTTAAGTTTTAAATTTTTTTAAAATTATATATTTATACAACATTGTTTTTTAAATATTTACAAAATATTTTAAACCAAACTAGCAATTACTTTTTAAATAATTGTCTATATTGTAATATAAAGGGAAAATTTTCTTATTCATTTAAATTTTAAAATATTTACAATCTTTTGGAGTTAGAATTTAAGTAGATAAATTTTATAACGGGTGTGGTTTCCTCACACTCAAAAAGTTACAAGTTTGAACTTTAAATTTTAAAAAATTACCTCCTTCGTCCATTTTTTATGGATGAATAAGTGGGAGCAAGACCACCGTCGCTGGGTAAACCACCATCAACAGTGGCGGAAACGAAAAGTATTAGGTCACCGAGAGCAAAGACTCAGATACCATGTAAAATAATAAAATTATGCTATATTATTGAATGAATAAGAAAGAAATATGTTCTAAAATCCTCCACATTAATGACTAATAACATAAGGTAATATTTTATAATAATAATCTAACTATAATAGGTAACAACCACAATTATAATATATAATATTCAATATATTAAATATATAGTATATTTAACATGCTCCCACGACTTGGATGGTGAAGATTGAACACTAACTTTAAATTAAATCATGACTAGAATTAGTAGAACCTCGAGACATATTTCGGTTAGAGTAATCTGAATGCATCCATGTAAAATAATAAAGAATGCTTTTTGATTGAATAATTTGAAGGAATACAAAACAATGGATATATAGGTGGAGTTGGAGTATTCTAGAATTTTCTATATTAATGGCTAGATAAATAAGGAAATATTGTGTAATAATAACTAGCTATAAATCCTATAATAGGTAACAACAATTATTATAATATATAATACTATATTTATTAAAATAATTAATATATTTAACAATCCATACCAAAAAAGAAGAAAAAAGATCATCGGGAAGAGATGTGTTGGCATTGAGGAGAATGGGAGAAGAGCCACTGCGGACAGTTTCGTGCTGCAAACGTCGAAGAAGGGAGAAAGTTGACGCGAACTAAAGTCGTGCGCAACTTGTTTAGCGAATAAGCAATATGAACAAGGTGCTGTCGAAGATACCTGTTGACCGAATCAAGAAGGAGCGGTGATGAATCCGGAGAAGGATGAAGGAGCATGGCGGATGATTTTTAGAGGAGCAAGTGGGAGTGAGGTCGTCGTGTTGTGATTAACCACCAGCGGGTGCGGCAGTAGAAGCGGAAATTATTAGGTCACCAAGAATAAAATACTATAGTTATGATATGTTGCTAAATGAATAAGAGATGAATATATTTTAGATTCTTCCACATTAATGGCTTATAATACTCCCTCCGTCCCAGTGTATTTGTCCAGTTTGAGTTTTTCGAGTCAAACTGGACAAACTTTGAGCTTTAATTAAATAAAAATTGTAATATATTTTAACATAAAAATGACTTTATTGGATTTATCGTATTGAGAACTTTCAAAATTGTACTTCAAAATTGTACTGTGTATGTGTGAAGCTTTTGCTTCTTTTTTGACGAACTTCTGTTGATTCTTGGCTGGTATTTTAGAGGTTGTTCATCTTCAAGAAGACCTCATTTGAGTTGTGTTTAGTTACTTAACTTGTGGAATGAAGTGTTGTTCTTGCTTTGAATGGATGGCCTTCCTACTGTTTTTTGGTGGTTGTGTATGCGTGTTTTTTGTGTTGATGTACATTGAACTAAGCTGCCTATGCTGATGCACCTAGCACAATGGTCAGCTTGCCCCCTACCCCCCTATGGTTATGGAAGAGCCAACATGGGTTGATTTGTAGTTGAGGGAGTGGCCATTGTTTAATGGAGCAGATTCTAAGGCATGCTATCCATGTACATACTTGGTATCTTTTTGGTGAGCTTGTGGACGTTTCTTGCTGTAGTGTTTGTTGTGGGCAAGGTCACGTTGAATTGGACAATGGTTTCCTGCTGGACAGTGGCATTTGTGGGCTGGAAGTTGTGTTTTACTGTGCTATTGTTCTCTTTGTGCAGTCACTTGTTTGGGCTTGCTGTTTGGAGCTTGTTGTTTGTGATTTGGGCAGTGTGGGGCTGGTTTTGGAGCTAGGTTCCAGATGCTGTTGTAGACACCTTGCTGGTGGATAATTTGGGCTGAAACTCATGGTATTTTGTTTCCCTTGTATGCTGCATGTTTTGTTGCAATTGGTGAAGAGTATATGAATAGTGAATTCCAGATGCCATTTAAAATTTCACAGGGTTTACTTGTTGTATATGTATGAAGTAGTCTCTAGCAGATTCTCACCTTGTGAAGGCGGCCTCTTGTGCTTCGGTATCGGATCTGTTATCAAGGTTTGTTTTTTGATCTCAACATTTAAAACCCTCGGCTATATATTTTTTTTAGCAACATATTGTTTGATTGGTTTCATATTTTCATGTTAACAATTGTGACTTTAAAACATAAATTAAGATGCTAAGAAATTATGCTAGTAGTAACTGAATCTCAATCGAGTCCCTTTCCATTGCTTGAAATATTTTATCCATCTGCTTGGCATCGGTATTGGTATTGCTGCCTCCAATTTAATGCTCCGTAGTTTGAAATGCCTATTAAGGCCCATTTGGTGAGGTTTGCAAGGATAAAATTTGGTTGAAATGATTGAATGAGTAAATGTGTTCAATTTCTTGTGTGTTGCTGCAATAGTTGAAGTACTTAAAAAGAGATTTAAAAGAAAGCTTTTTAATACATTAGAGGAAATAAAATCTAGAAGATGAAGGTAAAAGTGTAATTTATTTTTATTTCAGTCAATTCAGGCTTTCAATTATAAAACTATGTATTACAGAATTTCAGGCCTTCATCCTTTTAATTTGTTTTGATTTCTCTAATGGCTTCTTCTTCATCAGAAAGAGCAGAAAGATTGAATCTTAAGGCTACAGAACTGAGGTTTGGCCTTCCCGGATCCCAATCTCAAGACGGAGATGAAGAACTCAAACAAGCAAGAACCTGGAAAGTTGGACAAAAAGCCTTTGTTTCCATTAGAGAGAGAGAGAACAAAATGAGAAGAATTGTTTTAATAAATTAGCACGGGGAAATTATTACTTTGTTTTTTAGAAGAATTAATACATCAAATTGTTTTTTTAAATAATGCTTTGGCATCTGTTGTTTAGAAACAACCGATGCCAAAGTCCTATTTTTTTTATGTAAAAAAAGGCTTTGGCACCGGTTGTTTCTAAACAACCGATGCCAAAGCTTATTTTTTTTAAAAAAAGGCTTTGGCACCGGTTGTTTCGAAACAACCGATGCCAAAGCCCTATTTTTTTAAAGAAATAGGCTTTGGCATCGATTGTTTCGAAACAACCGGTGCTAAAGCCCTTCCCTTTGGATGTGCGAATGAGACCTTTTGCATCGGTTTTTTTACAACTGAGGCAATTGCCCTAGAGAAATTGCATCGCTTGCATTTGCATCGCTTAAAAACTGATGCAAAAGGCCCAAAACAACCGGTGCTAAAGCCTGTTTTTGTAGTAGTAATCAAAGTTTGTCCAGTTTGACTCGAAAAGTCAAACTGGACAAATACACTGGGATGAATGTAGTATAAATTAATACTCGTATTATATAATAAAAATAACTCTAACTATAATAGGTAACAATCATAATTATTATATATATTTATTAATATATACTCCCTCCTTCTGAAATGAATACCATTGTAACTATTACAGTCTCTTGATAATTTTTGTTTGTGTATTTTTATTGATAATTTGATAAAATAAAATGTTCTTGTCACCCCTTGTTTTATAGTCTTAAATTTACTTTTAAACAGTGTAATTTATACTTTTTATTTCTATATTAATTTATAATTAAAATGATTTTAAAAATAATGAGATTTTTGTGTGTTGTTCAGAGTTTGGCATCCATTATGGGACGAAGGAAATATAAAAAACTGAGGGTAAAGATGCACTTTAACAAGGAAAAAATCACATCATTACTCCCAGAATTACACAATTTTATATAAATCTTTCGAGATTTAATTAATGACCTTAGTATTCCCAAAATTTTCATATGTTTACCTAGGTTCTCTAAGAATTCATTTACGTTTATATTCAAGCTCCAAATGTTGGGGCGCCGATGTAAACATTTTTCCATGTTGGAGTATTGATGCTAATGGTGTAAATTAACCATCGGGTAAACATTACTAGACCGGGTCTAGAATTATTTACTGAATTCAAGAAAGTGAAAAATAGTAATCACAAAGGTTAACCGGGAGGACTGTATGTGGAAACATCTGTAGCCCAATTGTTATTTGAATATAGTAAAATGCACGGAAGCTATTACACAAGGGTTTTAGAAAGAAGAATTCCGCTCTCTTCCTTTGTGGGTTATACATGTATTTATAAGGAAAGGGAGGAGACAGAGCGCCGCGCGTCCACGTCGACCCATGTTCTCTGATAGTGCGAGGTGGCTTCCCCTTTTGTCTCGTAGCATTTTGTCTCATTCCCTTGTCGTTTTGTGCTGGTGACTCCTCTTTCGGTGCGTAGTGTCCAGCAGAGATTGAGGGGATATTTCCCCAATCTCTCGTTGAGAATCAGTCACTACCGTCCAAACAATTTTAGTGTTATTCGTGCCGACACTTTTACACTGTAGGAAACTACCCGGTAGTTTTATCCTTTACGTTTCAAAGGGTCGGAAGTCCGCCAGCTCGAAGTCACATACTCTGATCGGTGGGTTTATATATATGTCACCGGTCAACTTTTCCGTCTTCAACCGGTGGCCTATTTTTAATTCAAATCTTCCACGCTATCATGTCCGCAACTTGACCGGTTGATTTATGCGGACTGGTTACACACTGGGTTTTGGGTGGAATACACCCATCAGATGTAAACAAACGAAAATTTTGTGAGCATCGTTGTCATTTATTAAATCTCGGAGTATTTATGTAATATTATGCAATTTTGGGAGTAATGATGTGAATTTTTCCAATTAAAAAACAAAGAAAGCACCCTAAATAGGACTAAAACATAAAAAAGTACCAAAATATGAGTTTTGTGTTTTTGTTCTCGAAATAGGAGTTCGCACTGTGGTAATATGGTGGTAATGTGGCATTGTACATGTGCACATTATTATACTTTTTGGTAATGTACATGACCATGTTTGGTAATGTAAATGCATTTTAACTCTAATTTAGGGACTAAAAACATGGAAGTCCTATTTTAGTATATTTTCAATGTTTTACTCCTAGTTTTATCTTTTTCCCTAAAAAATATAAAGACTAATGATGCACCTTATTAAAATTTTGGGAAGAACATGCAGGTGACAATGATATTGAGGCCCCATTTTGTATATGAAATTCAAATTATGAAATTGGAATTGAGGTGTTCAACTTCTATTCTAGTGTTTGGTAGCACACAAAAACTATGTAGTTTTGGGAATTGATTGTGCAAAAGATAAATTAGAATTGGTGAATTACATTATATGGAATTGAATCCCATAGAATTTCAATTTCAATTACATCAATTCCGTATACCAATCAGACAGAGAGCTTTTTTTAGAAAATAAGAATTGATATTCTATTTTGCAATTTTTTGCCCCGCACATAGACATGCGTCCATCCTTGGAAGAACGTGGCAACCCCCAATTTCCACGCGTCCTATAGATCTGAACACCTCAAATTGTATTTATACGGAGCATTAAATCGTGTCAATTTTCAAGTGGAAAAAAATAAAGAAAAATAGTGTAAATTTTATGGTAAAAAAAAATAAAGAAAGAGAGAGAGTGAAGATGCGAAAATTGAATTTGACCACAAAAAACTTCATCTTCAATCTCGCAAAACCCATACTACTACCACCGCCTCCATCTTCTTCATTCTACATCTGCCGCCATATATGGAAGGTTTGTTACCTCAACCATTTATTCATACTCCCTTCCTTTCACTAGTTTCTTTACCGTACGATTTATAGTGTTTGGTTGATGTTATTTTTAAATTATTTTGCTAAATATTTTTATAAAATTTAAAAATGAAATTTATATATTTATATATCAAGATATATGATCTTCAAAAAAATAAGAGGTGATGTATTTATCTTATTTAATCAGATGCTAAAAAGAATCATTATATTGGGTCCGATCCAAGAAGGAGGCCCATGAGACGAGCCCGCATATATATAACCATAATCCAGGGATTCCCATCTTTATGTACTTCCTCTAATTTAAATATAATTATTTTATTTTATGAAATAATCCATGAAGATGAATATACAAACAAAAGTAAAGCATGTGCATATACTAACATGCACTACATATATTGTTCTTCGGCTCGGTTCTAGAGTCACTCATTGCTACGGAAGTCTTTCACCGAATTTGAACATCTACAGTACTCTATTCGCAAAAGTGATAGTTCCTACACCTAACCCCGATGAACTCCCCCACCCGGTCTCGACCCCAACTCATCCCCAATCACGTCAATTGCGAAGTGCAAGTTTAGTCGAAGTCACTTTTTTTTGACTCTAAAGTCCACTAATTGACGTTGTTAGGGAGATGAATTGGGGTCAGCACCGTAGGTGTCCCAGTTACTGAGTGGCTTCCGTAGTCACTCTGGTTCTAGAACCCAATCGATTGTTCTTAGGCCTACTATTCATCATTTTCCCCATAAATTATCAGTGAGCTAATATTGTACATGAACATTCACTTGCATCTGGTACTCCCAAAAAAGAACCGCATACTCAAAATGTCACAAGTTTGAACTTTACCACCGCCTAAATTTTAAAAAAAATACTTTCTTTGTCCATTTTGTGTCTTTCCTTTTCGAATATAATGTACAAAATTTAATCTTTTTTAAAATTACTTTATTTACAAATTAGTATATGAAAAAGGTTATAGTACATTATTCAAAATTATATAAAAAAGTTTGCAAAACAAGATGTGTGACAAGAATATTACATATTTTATCAAATAATTAATAAAAATATTTATAATAATAAGTGAGAAGATGATTTATGGATGGGAGAGTATAAAAAATAAATTTTCACGTACAATATTTCTTCTTAAATGGTGAAGTTCTTACAAAACACAAAGTAAATCTACATGCATGATCTAGGGTAATAATATTTGACTTACAGGAAGGAGATGTCGTAACTGAAGAGAGGAAAGAGAAAGGGAGAAGTGAAATCAACAGTAACAATGGCCGCCGCCGCCGCCGCCGTGAAACGGAATTTTACGAGAAGGAAGCGAAGGACAGAGCGACGGAAACGGCGCAGGAGGCGTGGAAGGCCATAGAGGAGGCTGCGGCGGAGATGAATCACAGAGTGGTTCCTAATTTGGATGCCAACATAGAGACTGATATTCGAGACGAAATGCTCATCCCAGACCAGCAGCAGCATGGGCGACAATGATGTTATTTTATTTGGGCATTTGTAATACTATTTTCTTTTATATAGAAAAAAGATTTAATAAAAATTTATGTAAATTCTACTCTCCCTCTAAAAATTATATTCCCGTTCATTATTTACTACAAAAGTATTTCAGAGTAGATTTTTTTGTTACATATTTAATTTAAGTCGTGCATTTTTACACTTTTTCATCTATCAGATAACAACAACAACAACCCAATTGAATCTCACTACAGTAAGGTCTGGGGAGGTGTGTGTACGCAGACTTTGACCCTACTCGGAAGTAGGGAGGCTGTTTCCAAGAGACCCCGGCTTAGCCTGCACTCATCTATCAGATATGAAATCAAAATTATTCTATTTTGCATTTCTAGCTTCTTAATTTATCAAATTATTCTTTTTTTGTTTAATAAAGAGAATATTTTTTCAATAAAAATTGGCCCTTCTACAATAATACTGGGCCTTTCGGTTGTGCCCCATATTGCCTCTTTTGGGCCGTCCTACTAAAAACTTAAGTTTGCGGGAATCACGATGATTTAACTTTACATCATTATGAAACTTAAATTAGTGATCTATGCATCACTATTAGTGATCTAATCAGATCACATTAGATCCAGATCCAGTAAAGAATTATTATTATTATTATTATTATGAATTATTAGTATTATTATTATCATCATCATTATATTTATTACTCCGTACTTTTTAAATTCCATATGTTTTACTTGTTCCACTTGATACAATTCTTTCAAAAAATAAATTTTAATTTTTCTTGAAAAAATATAAGAAGAAAGAAAATGAAACTTTTTTACGATTATAATTTAATTAGATAAAAATAAAATGATATGAATCATAAATATTTGAATATAAGATTAATTGAAGTTTTTTACTTTAGACTTTTTTTCTATGTTTTATTTGTCAATAATGTTGATATTCATTTTTCATAAATTTATAAAATTATGACTTATGATAACACTATCACTGTAACTATGACATTTAAAATAGAATTGACTAAAAATTCAAGTCTAATTTATGACATCTACTATTTTAACAAATAAAAAAATCATTCTGAATAAAAAATTTAAAAAAAATAAATTTCTTTCCGGATATTCTATTGATTTGATTCGAAATTTTGGATATCCGAAATTCGGATATCTAGTAATTTTCAGATCGGACATGGAATATATATTTATCGATCCAAAAATTTCGAATATCCAAAAACCTGGTCTGGATCGGATCGATTATATCCGAATGAACACCGTTGTGGTTAGACCTGTGCAAATAAGGATCCGGGCCGGGTTTGATACAAATTATTAGCCCATTTGCATGGGCGGGCTTGGCCCGGCCCGGATTTGATGGACTAAACTCTTTACCCATACCCGCCCACTTTAGCGGGCCGAACTGCCCACCGGGCCGCCCGGCCCGGATAAAACATCAAGTACATTTTTTTTACACAAAAAAAGCAAAAAGAAAATATTGAACTCTTTTTCAAATGTTTAAAATAAAATTACCACTCGCCACATTTACATAGAAAACATAATAAAAATATTGTTACATAATTAATAAATCCATCATACAGATTCATTAAAACACTATTGATTTTTGTTTAAGAGGGGTGAGTGATATGAATTATTATACATGAATTAACGAAAATTTTAAAATTTATAATGTCTAGATAATTAATACGTAGTAATGAATTAAATGTACTAATGAATATGGGCGGGCCTATTGGTCCGGATGGGCTAAAAGTAAGTTCTATATCCGCCCAAATACAATTCGGGCTTATGCCGGCCCGCCCATGTGGGTATTAAAGATTGTCCATATCCGGTCATTTAAAAAGGCGGGTTGGGCGGCCGGCCGGACGGGCCAACCCTTGTTTGCACAGGTCTAGTTGTGGTGGCACAACGAAGGAGAGAGATGGTGCGCGTGATGAAGTTTTTTGTCAATTCAATCACATAGGAAATGAGCCATGCGTGGTTATATGCATATCAAAATAATTTTAGCTTTATTTTGGACATAAAAATTTCACTCTCCTCTTCTTAGGATACATGACTCCGTATTAGGGGTGTGGAAAATAACCTGAACGATCGTGAAACCAAAAATTGAAATAACCGATTTTTTGGTTTCGGTTACTCATTCTCAAATTATCGTTTTCTTCGGTTAATTTGGTCGGTTTTCGGTCCTTTAATTTGATTTATTCAGTTAACCGAATAACCAAAATCCATATTCACCCCTAATGTTTGGTAAATTAATATTACCCATTTTTAAATCCAAATAAGTGAATTGAGATGTATGTTATGGATAGTAGAGTAGGATATTCATTATTATTATTATTATTATTACTATTATTATTGTTGTTGTTGTTGTTGTAATTTAGATTTTATTAGGTGAGCAAAATTATAAACTTGTTCGAGGTTATGGATACTAGTGTAGGATAATATTTATAATTATAATAAATATCCTACTCTACTATCCATAACATGAGCCCAACTATGGCTCCATTCGGTTCAACTTATTTTTTCTGATCTGATCTGATTTGATCTGATTGGATCTGATATGATTAATTATGATTTGATTTAAAATTCAAATTAATAATTTGATTTGAATTTGTAATAACGTTTGAAAATATTAATGATAATTCATATTATAATATAATCAATATTTTTTATTTTATAATTATTTTTTAATAAAATAAAATTAGTTAATTCATATATTAGGATAATCATTCATATTATAATGTAATAATATTTTTTATTTTATGATTATTTTTTTTAAAATAAGAATATTGATTTAATATTTTAATAAGTAGTTCCTATATATACATTAGAATAAATATTTAATCTAAATATACATTAAAAAGTAATTAAATTTAGATAATCAATATAGAGAAGAGATAGTATTTTTATTAAAATATCTCATCCTTATAAAAGATCAAAACTTTAGAAACTCAAATTACAGGTAGCAATAAAAATGTATTTTAAAAGTAGAATTAAATTGACATTGTCATTGTATTTAAAAAATAATTTTTCCGACGTCTAATAATTAAGGATTAATTTCTCAGTTTTCTATTTATTAACCTGTTTCTAAATTTATTCTTTTTCATTTTTAAAAATAACAACAACAACAACAACAACAACAACAATAATAATAATAATAATAAATTTTTATTTTATTTTTTTAGATATACAAATTTTGACTTTTTATAAATTAACTACAATCGTATATTTTTAATATTTATCGATTTCTATATCGAAAGTTGTTTGAAGTATGTTCTTTATAGAATCCTTTATAACTGAGAGTTTTTCATATTTAGTATACATTTATCAAATATTATGTTTGTAGTTATTATTGATTGGGTATCATTCCAAGTTTAGTTTTTGTCTAGCAGCGCTGAGATTAGAAAATTAGCTGAGAACTAAACATGAAATGTTACGCAATCAATAAAAAAGGTAGATACTCCATCCGTTTTTGAAAATACTTCCGCCCTAGTCCCTAATTTTTTGCGCATCATATAAAATATTTTATCCTATTTAAAATGTCTAAACTTTACCGCAATAAATTATATATTGAGATGTAGTTTAGATATTATAGGTGAAAGTAAAAATATTTTATGTGATGCCTAAAATTAAATATTTGATAAACACGAATTAAATATAAATAACTTGAATGAAAAAAGATTTATTTATAAAATTATTCTTTAAACTAACAACACCTTCCATTCACCTATGGAGGAGTACGTATATTTATTTGGACATGGGAGTAGCGGACATGCGGTGGTGGGAAAGGATTATATTCTCTGAAATGATATGATATGATATGATTTCGAGAGAGAGAGAGAGAGAGAGGACCAGCTTTATTTAATTTCCAGGCTTTGGTCGGTCGGTTTGAGGGACCATATATTTCACCGTACCCTACAGACCTAGCCTATCCTAGAATGATGACGACCAACTTACTACCTTAGCTTGGCTTAGCTTCATTTGGCATGATCACAATTCACATCCACGCTTGAATCTGTTTTTCTTACTATTAATAAGAAGGCAAAATAATTTTCTAATACGAATAATTATAAGGAATTATATTCATAAATATACCCTCTTTGTCTCTAAATGAATTAGCAAGCTTGCCAAAAATAATTTTGACTTGTTAAATATAACAAGCTCCTCAAACTATACTAAATCTATACTCTAAAAATAAAATAGCAAATTATACTTGCATAATGGAACAAAAAATATTTGTTACTCCGTATATTACAATTCTAGCAAGTTCATAAATCAAATGGAAATGGTTCCTATGACATTGGAACGTCATGTCATGAGATGACTCAATGCCGCTATGGTATGTCGTCAGTAAAATCTACTGTTCCTACTCCTAACCCTCACTCCTTTCAATTGTACCCTCTAAGTTAATTTTGATTTAGGAGTCAATTTTGTCTACAAAGTCAAAATTAACCTGGGGGCGCAATTGAAAGGGGTGTGGTGTGAGTCGAGGCGGGGTGGGGTGGGTTGGGGGTTTACCGTGTGGGGGGCGGGGTAGAAGATGTCAATTTTACAAACGGAGCAGCGTAGCTGCCTCGGGTCATCCCATGACATGAGATTCCAATGTCATAGGAACCCCTTCCAATAGCGAGTAAAGTTAAGTAAAATTTGTAATAAATAATACCAAATATATGTCATTTTTCAATGTAGTACTTAAACTTTTTTATTTTCTAGATAATACTTGAATAATGTCCAATGGTGGGACAACGTCCAGTGATGGTACACATTTAGTTTGAACAATATCTAATGGTGGTGGATATTTATTTGAACAATAACTAGTGAACATTGAACATAAAAAATTTGAAAAATAAAAATATATAATATTACATCGAAAAAGTCACTATATATTAATACTTTTAGGTAAATTCTCAAAGTTAAAATAAAGAAGCCGAAAGTAACGCTATTCGGAACGATCATTGGATTAGGGTTAGGTTAATTTAAGTACAAGTGTTCGCAATTTATCTGCCCAAACTAGCAGTACTGTCGAACAGTTTAATTACAAGGGCTTTAAATCTAGTCAATAAAATTAATTGATGTTTAATCTATCTAATTTGATTGAATTAGGATTGTGTTCTGTTCATCTGATCTGATTGACTTTTTAAAGATTTTATCTAATTATATTTAAAGTTGTTTTTAATTTGATTTGATTTGATCTGATTTTAATAAAAATAACTATAAGTTGAAAAAATAAACTCAACGGGAAACTAAAGTTCCATGCCGAACATAATGATATCTCATTCCATAATTGTTGAGAATTGAACACCAATCTCATTGTGTTTTCACTTTTTGCACTTTAGAATATTTGTCGGACCAATTTTTATTTACTCTCTAGTTCCCGTTGCATAAATGACTTGAAATGACAAAAAGTGGCTAGAAATTTGTTTCCAAGTATCAAATTAAATTTAGTAATTCAGGCAATATCACCAAACACTCCTAAATTTAATGAAAACTCAATGAAAATTTTTTCTCTCTTGACTTGACTAGTAGAAGGGCTACCTCCACAGATTGTAGACTAGAAATTCACCCAAATTAAACATAGGTTAGTTCTTTGTACGTGTTTTAGTAAATTGAAAAAAATATTAATAAACAAATATGTAGTACTACATTATAATAAAGTAAAAAAAGTAATTTACGTAAATGAGACTTAAACATATCACTTTTTTCTCTTAATAAGACAAGTCATATTTACTCCAACGTTTGGCAATAGAAAATTTCGAAATACATTGCCTTTGAGAAAAATGACTTATTACACAATTCAAATAGACCAAGATATTATTAAAAAAAATTTGAATAGTAATTAAAATAATCAGTCATTATCAAACACTTGTTGCTAATGATTACATTCGTGAAGTCGTTGCTATAATCAGTCATTATCTAACACTTGTTGCTAATAAGGACATGTATGCCAGATCATATAGAAATATGTGAGATAAAAGGAATAAACCATAATTGATCTGATTTAGAGAGCAAATTTTTCAAGTCAAAATAGTACTAAAAAAACGTATCCAAATGTAAAAAGAATGGCAACACATATAAAACCATTGCAAATCATTCATAATGAACAATGTACCATATCCAATATAATCAACAATAATATTAATCCCTTCTCTGCTATACCATATACCAAACCCCTTCCCCCCTAAACTAAAACAAAAACCGTGAATGAAAATGGGAACCAAAGTTAATGCAGATATATAGAACCTAGAGTAGATGGAAATAATGTTATACGACATATATACATATAACAAGCGAAATCAATGATGAACATACATATATATATTTGAACATGCCTGCACACATTCTTGATGCTCTGGCGATGTTTCCGGGTACGTAGATGAACAAAAGGATCTGAGGTTCCTCTCGGCGCAACGCGACTCAAGAACGTAACGCCCTTACGACTATTCAATCTCTCTCTGTTAGCAAAAAATAACAGTCTCGTGAATTGAATAAATATCCGATATCCATCGTCAATCGATCGAGTCTTGCAGCCGACATGATCGCTCAGATCCAATCTCCTCCCTTCATCTACTCCATTTTGTGTCTGTGTGTGTATGAAAAAACTACCTTATAAGCTTGTTGAAGTTTTGTATTGCTCCCAAAACATCCCGGTTTGGGTACTTGGGAACATCCAAATTCCTAGCGTGTCCCTCTGGTAAGTTCGTGGGGTGCAGCGGAAATCACCAATTATGAGATGTTAGCTTCCATCAGCAAACACAGGGAGTGCTGATGGGATCTGAAAACGCGCTAAAAGGGAAAAGAAAAGAGAAAAAGAGAAAGAAAGACGGGAAATAATTAAACGAAAGGCGGAGATGAGTTCATATATATCCAATCCTCAAAGAAGGGAAGGGACAGAAGAACCCATGTTTGAAGGATCAAACCAAGTCCAAGAAAGTGAAGAAGGATTGTTGTTGTTGCCGTTGTTGTTGTTGTCGTTGTCGTCGTCGTTTTTATCAGAAGTGTTAAAGTTTCCCATTTGAAAATGGGTATTGTTGGAAACACCACCATTGTTGTTCTCCACTTCCCTCTTCACTTCTTCTTTCAGGTTTTCCCCACTCCCAAAATTCTCTATATAGGGTCCTCCATGAAACCCACCACCATTGTTAGAAGACACACCTTGATAATGGAGCCTTGAAGCTATCAAAGAAGCCAAGCTCGACGCCGAAGACGAACAAGAAGACGGCGATCCAAACGCAAGGTACGGCGACGGATGATTCACAAACCCCGGGTTATTCTCAACGCTCCCGAGAAGCCCGGAAAACGAAAACCCTAATCCCATTTGATTATGCTGATGGTGCTCGAACCCGGAATCGAAACCCGGTTCGTTCCCCGGGTAGCGATAGAGAAAAGGGTTGACCAGGTGATCAGCAACCTGGGGTTGGTGCTGGTGGTGGAGGGAGAGAGGCACCGTCCCCGCCGCCGCTGGCTGATCGTTGGCGGCAACCGACGATGACAGCACCGGCGGCGGCGGGTGACGCCTGACCCTCTTGTTCTTCCTGCACCCTCCGCCCACGGGAACATTCCTCAGAGTGCCCCCTCTTGTCCAGTACCTCTTGCACGCCTTGCAGAAGTGTCTCGGCTGGGACAGGCTGTAGTTGTTGTAGTAGCAAAACTTGGTGTTGGACGAGTCACAGCGCGGGCACTTCAGAGCCTGCTTCGGCGGCGGCGGCGGTTGCTTCCGATCTCCGCCGCCAACGCTCTCCGCCGCTTTCTCCATAACGCTTATCCCACCACTAGAACCCATCAAGCTTTTCCCATCATCATCACCATCCACCTGATTTAATTAGGACACTTCTTAAGCACAATTAATGAATGAAAGATGGGGAAGATATTCAAGATTAGGGCAGGAATGGAATGGATATTCACTTCCAAAAGCTAAGAAACAAAAATAAATGATTTTTTTTCACTATAATTATAGAGAGAGAACAAAGCAATAATAATACCTCATGTGACCATACATTTTTAGTGGAAGAGGTGGCTACCATCTTCTCACACCTTCTTCTTCAAAGCAGATATATATTTTTAAAAAAATAAAAATATCACACACATAAAATACGAGTATTTATTTATGTTAGTAACTTTTTTATTTTTATTTTTTTTATGGATCTGCAAAGAAAAGGGAATCGTTTGAAAAACAAAGAGTAAGAAGACAAAATGGGAGCAGCAGGTGGGGGACTTGCAGTTACAGTGATTAATTAAACTAGTGGCTAGTCACAGTGAGATTTCTTGAATGGTTGAAAATAACCCTTAATTAGAGAGAAGTGATTAACGGACTAAAATTAGGGTTAATTAATCACGTACTGAAACTTCCTCCTTTTGTTGCTTATTTCACGTGAACCATTTAGACCGTCACTGCGCATAATTAATAAGGATTATGCTATGTGTACCCCAAGTTTTGTACCCCAATTTGTACCCCGCAGTTTTGCACCAACACTTTGTGTTGGTGTAAAACTAATTTTTATTAAATGCACCAACATTTGTATCCGTGTGAATTTTTATTAACGCACCAACACTTGTGTCAGTGTAAACCATCGAAATGTTTGTGCAAACCTGTGGTGTACAAATGAGGTATATTTTTTGGTGTAAGTGTAGCATGGTCCAATTAATAAACCTTCTTTTTATGTTTGTTTGGTAATTAGTTAGGAATTACCTCGAAATTGTTTCGTTCCAAGTTTCAACCGAAGTTATTTCATATTTTTAAATTCTTTTTTAAAATACAAATTAATGGTTAAAGTGTTACTCCATGTTGTTACTTAAAAAGAATTAAGGAGATTTTTTTTGAGGAAAATTAAGGAGAATTTAATGTTGCCTTATATGTCCTCATTCTTTGAGTATTAAAAAAATTAAAACAAATACTACATTCGTCTCAGCATATTCATCAAATTTAATTTTTTTTGAGTCAAACTAGAATAATATAATTTTAGATCTCAATTATGTAAAAATTGTAATTGTACATTACTGCTATAATGATGATTTCATTATATATCATGAACTTTCAAAAATTTGATTTTGATGTATCAATATGAAATATAAATTTAAAAAAACAAATAATTGAAGGGTAATTTACCTAACTAGGACTAAAACATAATGACTTTCTCAATATAGGATCATACCGGAGTATGTTTTTATTTTCCAATGTAGGATCATTAGTCATTATCTATTATTCAACTCAATGTTCAACATCACTTGGACATTATTCTTCTCACTAGTCATTATTAAGTCCTATTTAAGGAATAAAAAAGTTTAAGTCCTACATTGTAAAATGACTTATGTTTAAGTCCTTTTCAGTGCAAATTTCACATAATTAAAATTTATCTAGCTTGTCTTTTAAAAAATCAAACTGAAAGAATATAATTGAGATTAAAAGAGTATAAACCATGAAAATAGTTAGCCACCTTCAAAAATCTTTGTGAAGATATCAAACCCAAAAGGATAAACTCTATGAAACCCTTAAACCTAATGATACCACAGGAAGCGCCGAAAATGAAAGGCGGAGTATTTATGTGTGTACTGTTTGCAGCGCACTAGGAAAACGTAAATTCTTAAGACAAGAAGACGACAGAGATCTGAGGTAATTAATGCCAGCAAACATACGACAGATTAGATCAGGTGAATCTTTGACAACTTCGAGAAATTCACACCCCAATCAAGAGAAACCTTAGGGGAGTTTATTGCACCAAGGACCATGCTACACTTACACCAAAAAATATACTTCATTTGTACACCACAGTTTTGCATAAACATTTTGATGGTTTACACCGACACAAGTGTTGGTGCGTTAATAAAAATTTACACGGACACAAATGTTGGTGCGTTAACAAAAATTAGTTTTACACCAACACAAAATGTTGGTGTAAAACTGTGGGGTACAAATTGGGGTATAAATCTTGGGGTACACATATCATAATCCTTGCACCAAACATACTTCTGGTCATTTGACAAATGTGCACTGTTACCCTCTATCATTTTAAAATTTACATCGTTGATCTTCATATATGGTTCGCTCATCTAGACAAAAATATTTTTCAAATAGTAGGTCAATAACTTCGCTGCTATCTATGCTTTTGGAAATCGGCGCCAATGCCCTCTCTCCTTTTTCTTTATTGTTATTTTATTTTCTTTTTCATAAAGAGAAGAAAAATGTTAGTGTGTGAAATAATAAAAAATTGTTTTTCAAACCTACATTTTTAAAAAAGTTTTACCAAATATAAAAGCGTTTGTGTTTAAAATAAAAAATGAAATAAAAAATTTAATTAACATATATATTTGATTTGTCAAATTAAATATTTTTTGTCTAAAAAAGTTTTTATCATTTTGAATATGTCGGGGGCCAAATGAGTAACCTCTTTCTTAAATGTAGTTGAATATATATTAGTAAAATTTTTTGGACAAATGTGTAAAAGATTTCCTTCATGACTTAATTTTCCCTATTCTATAAAAGTTTTTTTTTCATATACTTTTATTTTTCTTTATTTTCGTTTCTTTTCTTTTTTCTTTTTATTTTAATTTTGATTAAAATTAAAGAAATGGTATAAAATTAATTTATAGAAAATGAGAAATAAACTTTCATAGAAAAGAGAATATTTCATTGATTTTCGCATCATGAAAATGAACCAATAAATACATCTTTTGTACAATAAATGAAAATGTTTAATTTGACAAATGAAGTGTACATTAAAATGTTTAATTGATTTTTACTGCAAATACAAAAAAAAATTAATTATTAATACATTATAAAAAATTTAAAAAAAGAAATTAAAAAACATTTATGAAAAAATAGTAGAAAACAGAAAAACAATAAAGAAAAGATGAGGCGTTTGTTCCAATAATAATAATAATAATTCTTGATGAGATCTTATTTTAATAAGTCCTGATCTGATCTGATCTGATTGGATCTGATCTGATCTGATTGGATCTGATCTGATCTAATAGGATCTGATCTGATCTGATTGGATCTGATCTGATCTGATTGGATCTGATCTGATCTGATTGGATCTGATCTGATCTGATTGGATCTGATCTGATCTGATCTGATCTGATTCGATCTGATCTGATCTGATCTGATTCGATCTGATCTGATCTGGTCTGGTCTGATCTGATCTGATCTGATTTTAATAAGAATAAGAAAAAATAAGAAAAAATAAGTTGAACGGAACGGGGCCTTAGTCATTACTAGGGACAATTTTGTTGAAATCACCCATTTTAAGAAATACTTGTTTGATTGTTTTCATATGAAAAACTTGGGTACTTTAAAGTATTTTCTTGGGATTGAAGTGGCATGAAATCCCACATGTATCTTTATCACCTAATGAAAGTATGTTCTCGATATTATCACTGATTCTGGATTGCTTGGATGCCGCTCACTTGACGCTTTGTTGGAGTCAAACCATAAGCTGGCTTTGGCCTCTGGTTCCTTGCTCGTCGATCCAAGCACCTATCACTGCTTAGTCACACGTCTCGTGTACACTTTTAATATTTATCAATTTCTATATTGAAAGTTGTTTGAAGTAAATTCTTTAAAGAATCCTTTATAATTGAAAGTTTTTCATATTTAGTCTACCTTTATCAAATATTATGTTTGTAGTTATTAATGAAATTGGATATCATTCTCGGTTTAGTTCTTGTCTGGCAGGAACAAGTTGTCAAAAAGCTTCTTCTCGAACTTGTCATCCTTCTTGTGGAGGTCCTTGTAACCGAACCTTGCGACGCAACGGAACATGCGGAAGTTCTTCGGCCCAATGCGCCTGACAAGGAATCACTCGTCCTCCGGGACTGTATACACCGGGAGATACTTGACGCACACGAACACCACCATCGAGTGGGTGGCGGGAACATTTGTGATCAAGTGCGAGAAGATGTGCGGGACCCCGCTCGCTAGCTCAGTGTAAATGAGTCCGATTCTTGGGACCCGGACCAGCCCTAAGCTCGGCCTGAGCCCGAGAACCCAAGCCATTGAAACCTTGTTGTGCAGCTCGAACTCGTACCGCTTCACCGTCCCGTAGTGCCAAATGTACATGATCACGAGAAATGCGGCGGCAGTGACGAGCGGAACCCACCCGCCCTGGTCGACCTTGAAGAGGACGGCGGAGATGTAGGTGCACTCGACGAGGAGAGAAATTGTTTTGAATACAACGTTTTCAATCTTGATCCATAAGTAGCATAAGTAGCGTAAAGCCACCTAAATACCAGCTAGATTTATTATAAATAAATTCGAGCATGTAGTCAAAAGTTTGATATATAGGTCTCTGATTCCAAAAATCACATATCACGTACTCAAATTTCCGCACAGGCCTTGCTAATCCCATCACAGGGTGTTGTAGCATCTTCTTTGTCACTCTCGAAAACTGTAGCAACCAAGTCTAAATAAATCTCTCCTAACAAATAGGGGTTTCTACCTAGGTAAAAAAAACTTCTAATAAATATGAATTTCTATATTGTCAAAAGATTAACCAATACATTGAGACTAACAATCACAACACTCTTCTCCTTAATTATTAGGTCGTTGTTCAATTTCTTATTGATTTGATCATGAATAGATCGAGTTTTTCCTTTTTACTCAGAGTTTGGGTAGGTCGAACTTCCTCCTTTTGCCATCCAATGCATAATGGACTTAAACTCTCTAACCAAATTAGTATCTTACTATTTCAGCTATCCTAAATTGCCTCAATCTTGAGATTCTCTCACACTTTCTCACATCAGCACTTCTCCATCTTTTATTGTATTAAGTCTAATTTCATTAAATATATTATCTAAAGTATAACTGTATAAAACATTGATTTTTCTATAAAATTTATTTATAAATATAACTAATTATTAAAAAACTCAACAGCATTAAATATTACATAGAGTATTATGAATACATTTATTAAAATTACATAAGTAAACACACATACAATGTAAATTGCATAAAATAAAAATAAAGGCAAGAATCAAGCTCGAGACCCTACGCTTGTGAGATTCAAATGAGTTGTTGTTGTTAATTAAATTTGAGTATCATCACTAGGTACTCCTTGCCTTTCCAATTGCGTGACACCTATGCCCTACGGTAGCATTTTTTTTAATTTAAAGATATTGAATGTGTTATAGGTTTATAAGTGTATTAGTGTCCAATTTTTCAATGCATGATTTAGGGACAATGTAACATAGAGGCCCCTGTACTACTTAAAAATATTTTCAATTAGTCCTTGTACTCAAAATGGAAGCATTTTTCTCTGTACTATAATTTTGTTCAACAAACCCCTTTTTTCACTTGTCTTTTAATATATTGCCCAAAATTCTTAGCGATGTTGTCAAATTTTACTATTGAGAATATAGAAATATTGCGTAACATAATAATGCATACTTTTAATCTAATTTTAATCATTATCTAATAAATAATTTTATTCATCATATAATTTTTTCATGAAAGAAAATAAATAAACAAAGGTATGTTGTTCTTAGTAAAAAAGATTTTTTTTTAAAAACATATGAATTAACTTGTGAAGACAATAGTTTCATGTCACTTATAGTAAAATTAGATGTTATCTCTAAAAAATTAAAGTAATAAATAAGAAAGAAGTGAAGAGAAGAACTTGATTGTCCAAAAAAGAATAGTACAAGGACTAAATTTCTTCAATTTTGAGTACAAAGTCTAACACCCCGTCCCCCACTCGGATTATAAGTGTCTGCCTGTAGGATTGTACACAGTGGCGGATCTAGGATTATAAATGGCTGGGTGCGGGATAATAAGGCGGGTGTTCGGGGGCAGCGCCCTCAATTTTTTTTAAAGATGCTTTTAAATTATGATGATTTTCATTTAGAGTAATTTTATACTCCGTATCACACAAGTCTATAATAAGTAAAACAAAGTATTTCAAAAGTAGCAAAATGTTATACGGAGTACTAAATGGAATACGTAAAACGAAATATATTTAATATCACTAGAGTATTACAAATACTTCACTTTATATTCTATTTAAAAATGCAACAAACTTTTTTACTAAATTCATAACCAAAAATTGTACTCCCTCCGTTTCTTAAAACCCTTGCTCTTTCATTTTTTTTGTTTTTCTTAAAACACTTTCCCTTTCTATTAAAAAACCACTTTTACCCCTACTTTTTCATACCCTACCTATCACATCATACTTTTTCACTAATAACTAAACTATCACATCTTACTTTTACCCATCACATCAAGGGCAAAATTGGAAAGTCAATTACAATTTAACACTTCCTTATTTTCTCCCAAAGTCAAAAGAGGAACTCTTTTGAGAAACGGAGGTAGTAATAAATTAAGAAGGAAGTAATATTTGCCTATTTGGACTGCTTTTGGGATTGGGCTTTAGGCAATTAGGTGGAAATTTTATTTACTAGACAAGTCCACTGGGGGCGGTCTTTATTTTTTTTACTAGAGGCAGTATACTTAAAACAAAAAAACAAAAAAAAATTAAAAAATTTTTTTTGACTGGGGGCAGCTGCCCCCATATTCAAGAGGGTGGATCCGCTCCTGATTGTACACTGGCCTCACAAACCAACACAAGTATTTCCGGCATAGTACTACCGACATAGTGCCGCCGTGAATTGGCGATGGGAGGCCGAATTTGCCCCCACAGATTTGCCGCTGTCCGGCAGCCGATTGCAGAACATCGAAGAAGAAGACCGACTTGCCGTCGCCGAAGAAAGAAAAGAAAACGGAGTCGTTTCAAGTTGGCTTTAAAAGAACTCCGTTGGGCTTTGACCCAGCCCATAGCCCAATTGCGCCAATTGCCAATTGCCCAAAGAATAACAAGAAAATACGGAGTACAGAAACTAAATTAATTTGTGACTAGTTAATTTGTTCTTGTATGAGGTTATGTCTAGTTAATTTGTTCTTTGTTTTAAAAGACTAATACTTTAATTTTAAAAATTATACACCGTAGTTTACTAAATTTATACTCAATTTATATACAAAAAAATAAAAATATTGTAAAACTTAAACTTTTTAAGTTTGGTAAGTCTCTAAATCTCTTCACTATTATTTTTTACCGTATTGTTTTTCCAAATAGTATAACTTAATTTTGGAGAAGATAAATTAGTAATTTCAATTTTCCCCTTAAGTTGGTGTATGTTACTATTTTTTTAATCAAATTATTTTGTTTTATGTTCAATTAAAGTGACAATTATTTTGAAATTCAAAATTTCAATAAAGAAATTCGTTTTTAAACGCTTTTATTTGAATTATTTGAATACGTATTTCGAATAAAATATTATTTTTTATTATTTCACGTTATCTTTAGAAAAACTAAGAGCATTGTCATCGGATCTTGTACTAGTGTAGTGCCCCCTCGAGCTCTTGACCCTGGCTCCGCCACTGTTTCCAGCACACTTTGTTCTCACTTGTGCATACTCATGGAACTTCCCAGGTGTCACCCATTCTTGAATTACTCCAAATCTAACACGCTTAACTTTGAAGTAGGGGTGAGCGCGAAATCCGTTCCCGTTAGACCGTTCCGAAAAATACCGTATCCGTTTTGTAATTGTACCGATTAATTGGGACACATTTCTTTTATCCCGAAACCGTCCCGTCCCAATATCAAATGGGACATGAGCGGGACAACTTAAATTTATACCGATTCGTCCCGTTTGATCTACTCTACTAATATATAATACTAATTCTAGTCCAAAATCCAAATACTCTCATTCTTTAATTAATTAATTAATTAATTAGTTAAGTGAACTTCATACGCTTGAGATTTCAGCCCAAAGTTTATTAAAATTATTTGGTCTCGTTTCACTCATTATTTTTTGTTGGATGGCTAGATGTTTCTTTTTTTTAATGAAATGTCACCCTCTCTCCCTTCCTATATTTGCGATTATGACAAAGCAGGACGACCCGAATCCGTCCCAGTTTATTCCGATTCTGAATTTTGTAGGACAAACCGGGATAAGATTGTAATCCGAACCGTTCCGGACCGTTTATATAAAACGGGACAAGACGCGAGACTACCTAAAATCCGGACCATCCCGATCCGTGCCCACCCCTACTTTGAAGATTCTAAGTAATGAACTCTCGAAAAGAAGATATATCTTATTGGTTCGAGTACTACCATCAATCCTTTTGAGTTTTTTAAATCTTTTTTCCAACTCCTTGTTGTTTCCAACATCCAACTTTAAAATTCCAATCCAAGAAAATATGGCCTAATATTAACATTTTTAGACAGTGCATGGACCTCAACGACACTTTGGCAATTTCTCTTCACTTGATTTGAATAGTATTGATTTGATTATAATAAGTTTTAATTTAGTCTGATCTGGACTGATCTAATTCGAATAAATAATAATAAGAAGTTGACGAAAACATGACCTTTGTCCTATAATTCAGGCTTCGGAATAATTGCAAAATTATGTAGTAGTAGAACTTTGAAGATGGGCTCTTGATGGATATGGACAACTGAATTATGTTTAACCCAATGGCCCAAATCCTTATATTAAGTAAGTCCCAAAGGTTTGGGCTTTCGTGGGAGGGTTGCTTTCCTTTTGCAGTGAATTTGATTTACGAGCCTGCCTTATATAAATATGGCCTCGTGTGAGTACTCTTTACAAATATGATTGAATTATAAATAAAGTGTAATATAATGTCAATGATACAGTTTACTAATTTAGTATGGAAAATGCTTGGTTCAGATACAAAATAGTAACAAATCTCATAAATTATTATTTGTGAGCTTCAATAAAAAAACTAGTGTAAAAAATTTTAAAATAAGACTTTAAACTATTAATGATAAGTTTGTAAATTTTGTGACCATTTTGTTTGTGAACATTACTGTTTAGTATGTGTGTGGTTTATTTAGATGGTTTTTTTGAAGTCTACTTTTGATGTTAATAACAAGCAATAAAATCTACAAGTTTAGTATGAATATCTTTGGTGGGCTTTGATATAATGATGTTTTTGTGTCCTTATACACACATGGCTAATATGGGATTGCTGTCTTCTAAGCCACAAATGCTTACAACTTTAAGGATAAGATTGATAAGATTAAAAAAATTGTGTGCGGTAAAAAAAGTGATTCCCATGACATTAGAATCCCATATAATGGAATGATCTATGGTTGCTACGGTACCTCTGTTCGTAAAATTAACAGTTCCAGTTCTCCTAACCCCTTGATAAACTCCCATACTTCGCCCGATCCGAACACACCCCCACCTTCTTCAATTGCACCTCCAAAGTTTATTTGACTTTTGAGTCAAACTTATATTTTAAAATTATTTTTATATTTTTTAATATATTTTTAAAATTATTTGTTAATTTGTTAATATACACACACACACACACACACACACATATATATACATACATACATACATACATACATACATACATACATATATATATATATATATATATATATATATATATATATATATCTGTGTCTTTGTCTGTGTGTGTGCGTGCGCACTGTGTGTATTATTTTATTTATTGTTTATTACTATGATTTTCATTATAAATGGATTGATTTATTTTATTATTATAATTATTTATTCTTATCAATTTTTTTCTTTTTATATTATACTCCGTAATGTTTTTAGTTATGTTATTATTTTTAGTATGGGTTTTTATTTTTTTATTATATAGTTTTTTATTGTTAATTTTTTTTGATATTTTATAATGATTTATTTTATTTTCTAATTGTTTATTAATTTTTTGGCGTTATTTATTAAGTCTTACTACTATTTATTTATTTATTTTAATTTTTTATTTTATTTTATATATTACTTTTTTACTGACAAGGCGAAAAAA